CCCGGAGGAAGCGGGTGGCGGGACCAGGCGTCCCGCCACTCCAGTCCTCCGGGGCGAGAAAATCCCCGTTCGTAACTGCGGATCCGACATAAGTCGGATCCGCGTAACTCGGGGACTGCCTGTACTCCTTTACCTCCTCCTTTGTTGCCTCTATCTCATAAAGGCAGCAAGGGCGGGGAGAATATCGACTAGTCTTGAACATCCCTACTGGGGGGTGGCGGGACCAGGCGTCCCGCCACTCCAGTCCTCCGGGGCGAGAAAATCCCCGTTCGTAACTGCGGATCCGACATAAGTCGGATCCGCGTAACTCGGGGACTGCCTGTACTCCTTTACCTCCTCCTTTGTTGCCTCTATCTCATAAAGGCAGCAAGGGCGGGGAGAATATCGACTAGTCTTGAACATCCCTACTGGGCACCAGGCATCATAAGGACAGACAGCCCTGGAGGGAACTCAGGACTTCACTACCAGTAATTTTATGCCATCTACAAATTCTGCCACCTCACTGTTGATCCCTTTTTCCAGATTACTTATGAATATGTTGAACAGGACAGGTCACAGTATGGTTTTGGGGAGCATGGTCTTTTCTATTTACCTCCATGTTTTGAAAGTGACTGATAATTCATTTTCTCCTTTTGTAATCAGTTATTGATCTATGAGAGGTTCTTCCCTCTTATCTCATGACTACTTTTTTTTCTTAAGAGCCTTTGATGTGGGTCCTTATTGATTGTTTTCTGAAAGCTCAGGGGCATTATATCTCCTAGGTCAGTGTTTCCCAATTTTATTTGGCTGAGGAACCCTTTTCAGCTTTTCAGAATTTCAAGGAACCCCTAGGTCTGTCAAGCAAAAAAAAGGGGGGGCGGGAGGAGAGAGGGACCCCCAATTCATGAAAATCACATTCCTTCCCGGAGACCCCCCCCCACACCTCCCTTCCGTGAGGCCTCATCCGCTCTGTTCCCCTCCTCTCCATCACTTGCTATCCCCAGCCCTTATACCTTTCTCAGCCTAGTGAGGTGTGGGGTGGGAATGAGGGATTTGGGTGTGGGAAGGAGTGAGAAGTACAAGATCTGGGAGGGAATTTGGATGCAGGAGAAGGGGCTGTTGGCTTGGGGAGGGGGCTCCAGGCTGGGGAGTGTTGGGCTCAGGTGGAAGGTTGGGGTGCTGAGGAAGCCATGGGCTTGTGGATGTGAGCGTGCAGGAGTTTGGGCTGGATATGTGAGGGACTCAGGAAAGAAGGTTGTGAGTATGATGGGCTCAGGACACAGATTTGTGATGTGTGGATGGTGGAGGAATGTTGTGGCAGAAGACTGAGGATGTGGGGATGCAGGAGTTTGGGGATGTAAGAGGCTCAGGACAGGGGGTTCCAGTGTATGATAGGCTCAGATTTGGGGTCAGGTGGTGCAGGAGTGTTATGATGCTGCAGTGAGATGGGGGTTTGGTCCCAACTGGGGGCTTGTTGGCCAGGCTTCATTTTTAAATAAAATATTATGTCAAACTCAAAAGGTTTTAGGGTTGTCTTTATATATGAGAGGGGTGAGGAACCTGTTTTGAGTCAAAGGTCACTGACCCACAGAAAAGTCAGTTGGGGCCTGTGACGGGGTGCCGGTCTCCGCTGCTGCGGAGTACACAGCACCCCGCACTCTCCAGCATGCCGAGGGCAAGAGAGGTGCCGGCGGGGACGC